CACATATATATTTTTAGAATTATGTAAAAATATTTATTTATTTATATTAATTATTTATTTTTATTAAATATTTGTAGTCCGCGGGCCGGCCCGCAAATCCGCGGACAAAACCCTCAAAAACCCGCAATCCGCCTGGGCTTGTCCGCGAGGCCCGCTATTTTATGGGCATGAAAAATGATGTCCAAGCCCGCCCCGTTGTGGGCTACTTGGACAAAGCCCGCGGGCTATCGGCCTGCTTGACACCTCTATATCGCTTGACGGCTGAGTTCATTAATACAAGTCAGCAATTTCTGACGTGGCGACGCGGCTTTGCTGACGTGACAGTGGCATTCTTTGTAATTACGTTTTTTCCTGTAATATTTAACATGGGCACGCTGGGTATAATAAATATACCCGAAATATGATAGTAATAAAAAAAAGATTTGTATGTTTCTGATAATTTCATATAAAATGTTTTACATCTGAGTAAAGTTCTTCAAAAAAATCATATGTACTTATTAGTTAAAGTTCAATGATTTTACACATTTTCTGAGATATCTTTTAATAAACCTTGTACATCCTCTTTTAATATCATTTCTGTTACTTGATTGCCTTGTGATGTCATCTCGGTTACTCTGTCTCTAGCCTTCACTGCCTAAAACCCAGATCAAAGCATGATACAAACTCTATCCAAACAAGAAGAGAGAATACAAACGAAAAAAAGACTAGTAAATGAGACAGCAAAAAAGAAGCAAAGATATACATACCTCTTGTTCCCAATTGGTGAAGAAAGTGACAAGAGCAAGAACAATCGTTTGTAAAGTAGAGCCAATCAATATACCGATCCAAAGTCCTTTCCCTCTCAATTTCACAACGAAACACAAGATCGAACCTACCGGGATACCGACCAGATAATATGACCCTATGTTTGCATAAGCTCCTATATGTTGCCACCCTGTTCCTCTAGCAACTCCTGAAGAAGCATGAATTTTAGGGTTTTTAAGAACAGATAAATTTAGCTTTCTTGAGCGTCAAGTGACAGCTGCAAATGCTTTTCGGTCTATACATCATGATGTGACTTGTTTACCTGAGAGTACGGCGAGAAAGCTGTCAACACCAATTGATAGGCATAGAAAGGGTGTGATTTGAGTTACATAGTCAGCGACTTCACTCTCATTACTGAATATATAAGCCCAATTTCTTCGGTAGGCATAGAGAGTGATGCTTACTATGGCTGCATCAATCACGCTGAGAAAAATCGCAGAATCAGCAACGGCTCGAGCTGCCTTCGGATTTCCAGCTCCTAGCTTGTTTGAGACGTGTGTGCTATTATATGACAAAAACAATGGTTCAGAATTTCAGATAATTGTTTCATGAACAAAAAGATAGATTGTTTGAAAATTTGGAAATCTAGAAAACCTCGCGGCTGCTCCTATTGCATTCACAATAACGTAATGCAGAGACGACATTGTTAGGCTGTTGGAAGAATAAAGACTGAAAGGTCAAAAGCTTCTTTGAAAAAAAAAGATTTATGTTAGAATTTGTAGAAAGTGATATATGTACATACCAAATGGATAATACCGATGTTTCGAGCTTTGAGTTTGGTAAGAGTCCGGACATTAGTATAAGAAGCTCAAACGACCACCATTCCAGGCTTTTACATACACCAAAAAACAGAAATTATAGAGGTAGATCTATTGAAGACCAAAATAAACAAACTTTAAAGGTTAAGAGGATTTTGTTACCAAGTCATCATCGCAGAGGGAATTGCGAGGGTAATGAACTGCTTCATGCTCAAAAAGATTTCTTGCGCCCGAAGATTCCTGTTTTCGCGATACAGATCAAAATCTCTCATGAAAACCCAAAGCAAACCTACGTTGAGCCAATACGAAAAACCTATGGACAAAGCAGAGCCGAAGATTCCAAATCTCAGTTTATAAACAAGAAGCCACGAAAAGGGAATGTGAAAACTGAGAGCTCCGAGAGAGCTCAAGAAGAGAGGTAGAACCAATCCTTGTGACTGGGAAAACCGAGTCATAGATTGAAGAACAGAGTATCCGAATAAAGCCGGTATAAGCCAGATCGAATATCTACACGCTAAATGAGAGATGAGAGGATCTTGATGGAAAAGCTCCAATAGTTTGTCCATAAAAACCCACAAAAGTGAGATTGGGAAACAAAACAAGAGAAGACATAGCATTGAGCTATAAGTGTATGCACCGATTTTCCTAAATTGCTCTGCTCCAAAAGCTTGACCACACAGTGTCTCTAACGCACCTGCCAATCCAAACTAAAGATCTAAGTCAGCAAGGCCGGTCCAATAAAAATAGTGGTCTTAATTAAGAAAAACAAAATGTGGACACTCAATAACCTTCTAAACAAACAAAAATGGTAGTACAAAATATATAATCACTAAAAAAAAGTGAACGTTGCATTATAAAAATTAAAAAGTTTTGCGACCCTAACTTTTTGCTTAGCATGCTTGTCCTTTGGACAGGTCTATAAGGCGAGAGAGATAAGAGAGAGGAGAATTTTACGAGGAGGCTGAAGCCGGTGACGTTGGTAAGAGAAGTAGCGATAGCAACGGCGGAGAGAGAGAGAGCTCGTCCAAGTGACCGGCCATAACAATGGAGATAACTTGAAGGAGGTACTGAGAAGCAGCCACAGCCACCATTGGAGCAGCCATAAAGCTTACCTTCTTCATCATCTCTGTCTGGTCTTCAGATTTCTCATTATCTTCCTCATCTTTCGGCACCAACAAGAAACCATTTTCCATTGTTTTGATCAAAACTGTTTCTATAGAAGCGTTTCAATCAATAAAAATGAATGGATCCAATAATTGAAAAACTTGGGGAAAGATAAAGAACTCTTCGTTGACCTTGGGAAATAAATTAACAACAACGCAAACACGTGGTTTTCAATAAAGTAGAGTTTTTTTTTTTTTTTTTTTTTTTTTTTTTTCAATAAAGTAGAGTTAATACAACGCAAACAGGTGATGCGATCTTGCTGAGGAAGTTAATACAAAACGTTGAATAGTTGTTGGTGGAAGTGTGGAACTGACAGAAACTAATGATAAAAGGTCTAAATGGCAAGATATGAACATTGCAGAAAATAATTTTAGCTAGGGAAACTAAATTTTCTTATCTGGGAGGTTTTATATAGGGGCTTTTGCAAAAATGCTCCTTTTTCAATGCCACTTTCCAAAAATACCATTTTTTAAAAACTTTATAAAAAATGTTCTTAAAAATATAAGATTTATCCAAATATGTATGTAACATTATTAAAACATACACAAACTACATTTCTATGTATCTAAAATCTTATAAATACTTTATAAATACCTTATAAATGCATTTTAAATACCTTTAAAAACCTTTAAAATATCTTGTAAAACCTTTGAAAAACCTTAAAAATCCTTTAAAATAACTTGTAAAACCTTTAAAAACACCTTATAAAACCTTATAAATATTTGGATCGAGTTTTCAAGTAGTAGTTACAATCCATAAGTACCTTATAAACCTAATAAAACTTTATAAAAATTTCAGATTTAAAAAGGGGCATTTTTGAAAATGGACATCTAAAAGAGGCATTTTTGAAAAGGGACACACCAAAAACGACATTTTTAACAATTTCTCTTTTATATATTGTTGAAAATATGTAAAAACAAATATTTGTTCGTTTTTCAGTGGTTCCCGCCACCTGTAGTTGATTTTCCTTTAAAGAAAATCAGCCAAACTCATACTCGTGTATTATTTTAAGTTTTGTTTAAGGTTTTTATACACAAATTAAAAAAATATATAAATTATGTTTAATTTATTTTTTACATAAAAATATTATTAAAGAAAATAAATTCAACCCATAAAAAATATACTATAAAATATGATATGTCACAAAAAGATAAATATATTTAAATTTTGCATAAAAAATTAAAAATATCACTTAAAATGAAACATTTTTTTTGGTTAAAACATCACTTAAATATATAGAGGGAGTATTATACATAGAAAAAAAGACTAGAGTAATCCAAATTAAAGGTTTAACCGCCATACAAACAGAGAAATCCCACCGACCCGCTCTCCAACTTTCGCCGCATGTCACATCAGCCACAACCGACGGACGAGCCAAGAAGATCCACCGTGCAACCTCCGGTATCCTCAACTAGACAAGGAATCAATTGGAGACTACTCACTCCGTCGAGGAATCGCCACAACAATATCGAGGAGCGGATATCCACAGAGCCGTCCCTAGTATTTAATAGGCTGCAAGCAGGAAAAAAAACTTGGGCCTATTTTAGTGAATAAAAATATTAAAAAAACAAAAAATTAAGAAAATGAAGGTAGATGGACTCGAACCATTGACCTTCTAACGCATCAAGGAAGCACATAACCAGCTTAGCTACTGAAATTTTCAAAAAAAGAGGCCGAAATTTTACTTATAGTAAATGAAGCCGCAAGCATGGGCTTGGCCCGCTTGTATTCATGGCCGGCTCTGGATATCCACAACCTTACTTTGTCGGAGAAGAAAAAGGCACATCTAGCGGCTCCGATTGAAACTCCAATGCCGAGTTGAAGATCGAAAGGTGAAAGAAGAAACCCAATATCTACTTTTGTTTAGTATGATTTTAAATGTCATTTTATAAATTTTTTATTGTTTTTACTGTTTAGTATAATTTTAATTTTCATTCTATGAATTTTATTTTTTATTAGTATCCACCCAAAAAAATTTGGATACAATCATACAATCTATAAAAAAATTATAAAGGTTTTATATGTTATATTTATCTTTATATAGATTTGTATATATTTATATTACCAAAACAAAAAAGGATATCTGATCTTTTAAATTTTAAATTTTTTAATTTTCTTCGTTTCTTACGAATAACGTACTAAAAAAATTATAAATGTTCCATAAATTTATGAATATCCGAATTTTCTGAATCCGTTCAAAATGAATAACATATTAAATTGAAGATTACAGATATTTTACAATTGATGTGTTTGGAATTCTTTTTTTTTTTTCAGTTTTAAATACTTTTGATATACAGTATCCATGTGTTGTTCCTCCCGTGGAAAGTGTTTCCACGTGTTGTCCGCTATTAAAATGAACTACTCACCATGACTCTTTTTTTTGAGCAATCTTACACAAATTTGCTCTTTGCCTTCTTCTTTTATTTTGTCTTTTGTTACTTCTCTCAAGATAACTACTCTTCATCATCACAATATGGTACATGCACAGTTGAATCTTATTCGGAAGATTGTAGGAATATTAGGAAACTTCATCTCTCTATGTTTGTTTCTGTCACCAACGCCAACGTTTGTACACATAGTGAAAAAAAAATCAGTGGAAAAATACTCACCAATGCCATATTTAGCCACTCTCCTAAACTGTATGGTTCGGGCTCTTTATGGACTTCCTATGGTTCATCCTGATAGCACCTTGCTCGTTACAATCAGCGGTATAGGAATCGTGATCGAAATCGTTTTCCTTACCATCTTTTTCGTTTTTTGTGATCGTCAACAACATCGGTTGGTAATATCCGCTGTTTTAACCGTTCAAGCTGCGTTTGTGGCTACTCTTGCGGTTTTGGTATTAACCCTCGAACACACTACCGAACAACGGACAATAAGCGTTGGGATTGTTTCTTGCGTTTTCAACGCTATGATGTATGCTTCTCCATTGTCCGTCATGAAAATGGTAATAAAAACAAAAAGTTTAGAGTTCATGCCGTTTTTGTTATCCGTAGTTAGTTTTATAAATGCAGGTGTTTGGACAATTTATGGCTTTGTGCCTTTTGATCCATTTTTGGCTATACCAAATGGGATTGGGTGTGTGTTTGGACTAGTACAATTAATATTGTATGGTACCTACTATGAATCCACCAAAGGGATAATGGCGGAAAGGAAGGAGCGACTCGGCTACGTTGGTGAAGTTGGGTTATCTATTGCGATCGGTCAAACGGAACCTGAGAACATCGCATATTTCAACAAAAGAGTTAACGGTGTTTGATTTTTTGGTCTTTTTGTGCTATTCACTGTTAGATTATCATACACATCTAGGACTTATTTTTTTGAAGGACTGTAATATGCGAATAAGATGACAATTTTCGTTGTCCATTAACATTTTGAGAAGCCATGGACTATTTTGAAATATTGGTGTGTAATGTTACATTGTCTAAGAAAACAAAAAGATTACTTCTCTCTTTGGTTCATTTTGTTTTTGGAGGTCATTTCTTTGAGAGAAAGCCGTCGATGTTTCTTGAACACAAAATTTCCCAAATAGTTAGAAACAAATATTAGCTCGATTTCTCGAAAACCGAGTTAAGGATTAGAAACAAATGCAAACTTGGTTGTGATCACCTCTTTGGTCCAATTGGTGAATTCCATAACAAGCAATAGGATTAGGTCTTGTAGTGTTGGTCCTGAGACTAAACCAGCCCATAGTCCTTTCCCATTGACATTACTAGTCCAATAGGAATACCAATATAATTAGAAGTTATTTTCACATAAACTCCAATTTCCCGCACACCTGTTCCTCTCACAAGTCACAATACCTAAAATATATATTTTCACATAGACTCCAATTTTCTGCACACCTGTTCCTCTCACATACCTAAAATATATATAGTCATATATACAAAACATTCGGTTTATTATCACGAAAATTAGAAACATGGCTCCTAAACCGGAGAAGATGGTTAAGAAAGGCTAACCGGATAGGAAGCTCTCCTTGAGGATTGAAAATATTAATATCAAATATTCAGATTAAAAGATGCAAATACAAAATGTAAAAGTCAAAATGAATCTGGGTAAAGAAAATTTAGTCCCAAGCCCATCTAATGACCAAACCTAAACCCACCCGTCCAAGCATCAAGAGAAGTAGCTCCTTGCCTCCTTCCCCTCCTTAAACAGATATGGTGAGACAAGGCCACAAGCCCTGGACATGAAACCTTCAGCTTTATATACTAGAAGATTTTTTCTCCATATTGAGATATATTCTCGATATCTCTCGTATTTTTAGTTTCCATATAGTTAAAGTGTGTTTGTAATTTACTTTCTCTACAAGTTTAGGGTTACGACCTCATGCCCTGTATAAATCAAAGGCCAATTGGTCAAGTAAATACAAGAGAACATATTCATCGATTCCTAGTTTATCGCTCCAACTTCCAATATGTATGATAATCCACTTTATTCATTTTGTATCTATCATATACCCAATTTTGGATATTGATATGAGTCGAATTACCTAAAACCACACTCTCAGATAAGAGATAATTGTAGTATTTTACGGTTGAATCTCCACAAAGTTCTTTTGTTCACACAAAAAATTTGGTTTGAAATATAATCGAAAAACCATCAATCTTGAGTAGGCATATCAAGAATCCAACATCAAAAGTGTGATGTAACCTAACGTAACATAAAAATGATATAGGCCAATATATTTATTGTTAGGAGTTCCGTGACAAGACTTAGACCATGTACATAGGTGATATATTTAGAGTATCGGAAGCCTATAAATAATTTTTTAATAGATCAGACAATACATTTGGACGTGATCAGTATCAATGCAGTGATATTTCTGATACCTAGTATCGGGTGACGTGGCGGCTCCTGATTTATGCTGGAAAATGCGTTTTTCCCTGAAAAAAAAAAAATCATTCTCGTTTTCCCGATTCTTCCCGATTATTTTTATCATCATGTTTTTTTTATATTTTTTTGAATTTTAATTGTAAAAAAATTTATTTTTACCTACGTTTTTTTATTGTAATATTAACTTTTGTAATTCTATGTTTTTATATATTTATTTTTGATTTTACAAATAATTATTTTTTTATGATACTTAAACCGGTCTCACCAATGGAAACATATTTAATACAAGTATCATAAGAAAATCTCAAACAATAAACAAATATTATAAATAATACTAAAAAATTATTAATAATACTTTATAAGTATCACCTATGTCCATGCTCTAAGATATCTCCAAAAAAATCAATATATTGGTGCAAAACTCGACATGAACATGGATTGATGCGCGGCTAGATTCATTTTTCTGTGTACCTCCTTGTATAAACGATTTTGTATGTCATATATTTTTGTTTCTTGGATTGATGTTGATGTATTTCGACATTAGTTACTTTCAATTTTTGTATGGTTTGAAATATAATCGAATAACCATCACCTTGAGCAGGCGTACTAGAAATCCAACATCAAAAATGTGATATAACCTAACGTAATATAAAAATGATATGGGACAATATATTTAATATTGTTAGGAGTTCCGCAACAAAACTCGTCCATGAAATCAATATATTGATGCAAAACTGGACTTGAACATGGACTGATACGCAGTTGTATTCATTTCATTGTGTACCTCCTTGTATATCTGAAAATCAAAATATTGATGCAAAACTGGATTTGAACATGGACTCATGCGCGGGTGGATTCATTTCACTGTGTACCTCCTTGTATATCTGATTTTGTTGTATGTCCATACATTTTAATTTGTTTCTTGGAATGATGTTGATGTTTCGAATTTCTTTACCTTCAATTGATTTATGATGTGTAGTTGCTTCCACGTGTTTTCTGCCATAACAATCACCTACTCACCTTGACTCTTATGAGCATCTCACTTACCTTGACTCTTGTCGGAGAAAGTATTTCAAATTTGCTTTTTGACTTGTTTTATTCTTTGGTATATCCTTTCAAGATACTCTTATTACTCTCTTTGGTGCATTATTTGTTTTTGGCCATTTCGTCAAGTTGTATTATAGACTTTATAGTATAGAAGATTTGACGCTTGAACCAATCAACTTTGGTCACTCCTTTTTTTAAGTGAGCTATATGTTTAAACTTTGTTAGACTCTGATATCATAAGAATTAATGTCTATAATTTTCTCGCAATATCAATTACAATCAACTGCATACCTTATTAAGTTTTAAACTTTGTTTAGGTCCCATGCATTTTAAACACTTGAATCCTATTATAAATCTTTCAAGCAGAAGTAGAGAAAAAAAAATCCATAACCGTTGAAGATTCTTGCACAAACTCACAAACAAAAAGCAATCAAAATCCCCCAAAGTTTGTATTTCTTTTTTTCTTCAATTAAGCAATGAGTCATGTCTCCAAACCTTCTCATCACCTATTCTCTCCCTAGCCTTGATTGCCTGACAAAAATGTAGAAACAAATATTAGCTCGATTTCTCGAAAATCAAATGAAAGATTAAAAACAAAGCGAGTTACGCGGTTGCAAGCACCTCTTTCCTCCAATTGGTAAATCCAATAACAAGAAATAGGATTAGAGTTTGTAGTGTTGATCCTGTGACTAAACCAGCCCAAAGTCCTTTCCCATTGAAGTGGAGATGAAAACACAATAGAAGTCCAACGGGAATACCAATGAGATAGTAAGAGGTTATGTTTACATAGGCTCCAATTTTCTGCCACCCGGTTCCTCTCACAATCCCTAAACAAAACAAAACGTATATTCGGTTCACGATCACAAAAATTACCATGGTTCCTAAACAAGAGATGAGGGTTAAGAAAGGCTAACCGGAAAGGACGGTCAAGAAACTGTCCATGAGGATTGAGATACAAAGAATGGGAGTGATATCAGTCACATAACTAATTACTTCCTCCACATTGCTATATGCATAAGGCCACACACTGCGAGAAAAGAAGAGGCTAGAGCTCACAACGACTGACTCAACAGCTGCAATTATGATTGCAGCCGCAGCAGAATCCCGCGCCCCTCGCGGATTCCCAGCTCCTAGCTCATTTGCCACATTGGTACTAACCAACCAAAAATAAAATGAAACATAAACTCTTCGAAAATGAAATGATGTCAAATTTGTTTTAAGAGTATTAAAGTAAAAACAAACCTTGCTGCATCACCGATTCCATTTACCAGATTGTAGTGCAATGAAGAGGTTGTGAGGCTGCTCAATCCCAAAAATTTAAGGCTTAGAAAATGAAAGAAAATATAAGGATAACATAGTATACTTTTTCGCGGTTCGATACATTACCAAATCGAAATAACCGAAGTTTCGAGCTTTGAGTTGGGTAGAAGACCAGACAGCAAAGTAATCACCTCGAAAGCTAACCACTCAAGGCTATTTGAGCAATAACAAAAAAGTGTTAATAGAATATTAGTGAATGGAAAAACAAAAATCCATTAGACCTTTTGATTTGTAACAAAAGATTTTAAACCGAAAGCCATACTAATCTCAAAAACATGCACAAAATCGATCTTTCGCCTATCCACAAACGACGACCACTAGACTACCATCACTTGGTTAATCTATTCGGATTTTCAATAAAAGTTTACATACTTACCAACACATCATTGCAGAAGGAACCGCAAATTGAAAGAAGATATTTGTATGAACAAACACATCTTTCGACATATAAATCCGCGTTTCGGCACAACGGCTAGAGCGTTTCATATAAACCCAAAGGAAAGCCGCGGTGAGCCAGTAAGAGATACCGATAGACACAGCCGCTCCTTTGGCTCCAAAATCAAATTTATGAACCATTAGCCAACAGAGAGGAACATGGAAAGACAGAGCAGCTAAAGAGCTCAAGACCATTGGATAGATCAAGCTTTGTGACTGAAAATATCGAACCAACGACTCGAGAACAGAGTAACCGAATAAAGCCGGTACAAGCCAGAGACAGTACACACCAGCTAACTCTGCTATTTGAGGATCTTGATGAAGCAAAAGCAAGATCTGGTTCATGAACATCCAAAGAATCGAAATCGGGACAGAGATAATCATGAGGAAAACTATTGAAGTGAAAGTGTAAGAACCAAGCTTGTGATATTGTTTTGCTCCATATGCTTGACCACATAAAGTTTCTAATGAACCTGAAAGTCCAAACTATATAGTATACAAAAATAATTAGAAACAAACTGATCAAAAGAAAAAAAAAAGATTTATAGTTTGATATATTTGCTTACAAGAACACCAAAGCCGGTAACATTAGCAAAGGAGCTTCCGAGAGCTATTCCGGCGAGAGCGAGTTCACTCCGGTGACCGACGATCATTGTTGAAGTTGCTTGAAGAAGGAACTGAGACATGTTCACAGCGACCATTGGAGCAGCCATTGAAGCAACTTTCTTTATCTTCTCCCATCTTAGCTTTTCGTTCTCTTCTTCTTGTGATTGTTTGGTGTTCAACAGTAATGGAGTTTCGATACTCTTCTTCATTTTTTTTCTTTCTGGAGAGAGAAAATGTGGGAAGTTGTG